GAAAAATGTTATCCACCTCTAGAGAAAGAACTGATCAAGTCTGAATACAGATTGGAGCATACTATTTTTCACATTCTGTATTTTATTGTGGGTTTTTTTTACTTGTATCAAATTTTTAACCTGTATCAAACTGCTTACCTTCTCAGAGAGAGGGAGGTGACGGAGGGAGAAAATTTGGAACTCAAAATTTTTAAAAAATTAATGTTAAAAATTATCTTTACATGTAATTGGGGAAAAATATTTTTAAAAATTCTTCCTTTCGCAGTTCCATGGTTAATGCATTCCATTTTCTTCTAGTTCTTTCATATGATTTTTTCTGATTAGATTGATCATGCATTTGGAACTTAATTGTGAAATACAGTGTAAGATACTGTCTAAACCTAATTCTATCAAATTGCCCTTCAGGTTTCCCAACAGTTCTTGTCAAAAGGGGAGTCGTATTTCCCAGTAATTCATGTTTTTGGTTTTATCAAAACTGGACCTTTTCATTTGCTACTTATTCTTTTTTTAAAATCTATTCCACTGATTTACTTGTCCATCTTATAATGGGTACCAGATTGTTTTATTATGTCTTCCCTTATAGGGGACAGATAGCTTTAATTCTGGTCATGTTACAATGCCTTCGTTCCTTTTAGATATTTTGCTCTCCAATTGCTTTTGAGCTATTTTGTCTAGTTCTATTTAAAATCACCTTAGTAGCTTTAATAGTATAGCCTTAAATCTAAAAATTAATTTATGCAGTATCATTTTTATGTTTACATGGTGCAAACATGAGCACTGAAAAAATTTCTCATTGGTCTTCCTCTAGTTCAGTAAAGGCTGTTTTGTATTAGTATTTAAATAAGTTCTCCATGTGTCTCTGAAGGTTAACCTCCAGATAGTTTGTGCATTTTATAGTTAATTTGAATGGAATTTCTATTATCATCATTTCCTCTCGATTCTCTTGTACAGTATAGAAATGGTTTTTTTTGGTTAGGCAATGGGGTTAAGTGACTTGCCCAGAGTCACACAGCTAGTTAAGTGTTAATGTGTCTGAGGCCACATTTGAAGTCAGGTCCTCCTGAATCCAGGGCTGGTGCTCTATTCACTGTGCCACCTAGCTGCCCCTACAGTATAGAAATGTTAAGGATTTTTGTGGATACCTTTTGTGTCCTATTATTTTACTGAAGCTATAAGTCATCTCTGTTCATTGATTCTTTGGGGGTTTTATAAGTAAAGCATTATGTCACTTGCAAACATGGATCATTTTATCTCCTCTGCCAATCTGTAAACTTTTCATTTCTTTCTTGTCTAATGGCTAAATCTAGCTTTCCTAAATCCTTATCAAATACTAGTTGGGAGAACAAACATCTTTGATTTAGTCCTATTTGTACTAGGAAAGCCTTCAGTTTTTCTCTATTGTACGTAATACTAGCTCTTGGATTTGCACATATACTTTTAAAAATTAATTTTATTGACATCTTCTGCTTTTACATCACGCAAATTTTCCCCATACCTCTCTATCTTTCTGTCCCAGAGAGTCATCCATTATAACAAAGAATTTAAAAAAAAAAAAGAAAAAGAGGACAAGAAACCTCCCCCCGCAAAATTGATTAATGCAGCGCAAAATCAGACAATATACACAATGTTTCATACCACATCTAGTTCTGCAAAATAAGGAGAGGTATCTCTTCTGGAGGACTAAAATTTATAAGTATAATAATACTAAAGGGCAAAACCCAACTCCTACTAGATAGGTGGTCAATGGATGTGAATGAAATTCACAAAAGAGGAAAACACTATAAATTATCACCTCACCAAAAATGCTCAAACTCACTAGCACAAAGAGAAACTTTCAGGTACCATTTAACACCAATAAAAAATGGCAAAAATAGCTTAAAATGATAAAAACTCAATGATGGCAGGGATATGGAAGAACAAATATACAAACTACAGGATGAATTTTAAAGTAGTGGAATCTTTTAAAAAGATCAATCTGGTAGGGAACTGCAAGACATACAAAAGCAATCATACTCTTATTCCACTAATCCCATTATTAGGAATATACCCAGATATTACAGGTGAGAAAAAACTGTGTATTCAACTAGCTGTTAATGGAGCAAAAAAAAAAAAAAAAAAGGCACCTGAAATGTCCAACTCTTAGAGAATGACAGAATAATAAATAGCAATGTTATAGAATTTTGATTTGCTTATATTATGTTATGGAATACGAGTTGTTGTTTGTCCTTCATTCTCAAAGAGGACCATGACATCCTGAAAGTGATGCCATGATTTGCACTTGAATTGGTTTTAAGTGAGGGAGGGCTGTGCAAAGTCACCAGCCTCACTTTCTCCTCTAGAGCTATCTGGGTCCAGTGGCAAGATATAGATCAAGGTGACTGGAGATGGCCTCCTCTGAATCACTGGGGATATAAAGAAAGGCAAAAACAAAATTCAACTAGGGGGCACAGTGGATAGAATGCTGGGCCTGGAATCAGGAAGACCTGAATTCAAATCCTGCCTCAGACACTTACTAGCTGTGTGACCCTGAGCAAATCACTTTCCTGCTCTGTCAACTGAGCAGGAGAAGGAAATGGCAAACCACTGCAGTATCTTTGCCAAGAAAACCCCAAATGGGGGTCACAAAGAGTCAGACACAACTGAAAAGACTGAACAACAACAACAAAGACAACAAAGAAGCATACATATTAATGTGGGAGACAACAAATAATAATTAAGTTCCTGTAAGATGTATATGTATGTCTATATATGTACATACATACATACATACATACATACATATATATACACATACTTACATACATACACACACACATATGGAGAAAGAATAGATCAAGGTGGTTGTTGGTGTTGCTGGTCCTTTGTTATTGAAGAGGACCATGACATCAGGAAGGTGACGTCATGACTTGCAGTGGATTGGATTTAAGTTAGGGAGGACTGTGCAAGGTCACCAGCCTCATTTTCTCCTCTGGAGCCATCTGGGTCCAGTGGCAAGATGGCCCCACTATGAAAAACACAGTTAAAATTAAAAAAAAAAAATTAGGACTAGAAAGAAACTTGAAAAGATCTATCTGAAACATGTAAAGCAAAGAATGCAAAGTCAGAAAGATAGTTGACTATGAACACAATTACACAAATTCCAAAGTGTTTACATAAATATATAAGAAGGAATGGGGTGTCAAAGGTGATATGGAAAAAATAAATGATTTGTTGTAACATTTTTACATAACAAAATTCTTGTATTCAAACACCAATAATTGTTAAGTTGTATTTTTGTTAAAGTTAGTTATGTTTACAAGGAATTAAAAATAAGATATATTAGAAACCTGATGAAACATTTTGTTACAGTTATGTTCACAAAGATAAGATTACTATTAAAACCTGATTAAACATTTCAATAAGGTTTATAGTTATGTTCATAAAGAGTTATTTAAAAATAAGATTATAATATAAACCTGATGAAAATGAAACACCTTGTTAATGTTTAGGAATAGTCATAAGAAATTGTCTAAAAATAAAATTATATTATAAACTCGATGAAATGGAAACGATCAGTGCTTAATCAATGTTGCTAGAAAAAAAGCTTAGATATATACTTCATCTCATACAACACAGCAAATGCAAGACCAATTAATTTTATATGCATACATACACACACACATCTATGTAACAAAAAGATAGCTGCAGCTTCTAGACCAGTATCTGTCTCTACAGAACTGAGACATTTTATGAAGAGCTCAATGAGAAATTTCATATTAAATCATACACTTAAAGACAGTAACCAGTACAAAAGTGGCCATAAGAAAGGATAATAATAGCTAATATTTATATAACATTTACTATGTACCAGGTACTGTGCACTTTATAAATTGATATCATTTGATCCTCACAACAACCCTGGGAGGTAGGTGCTATTATTATCCCCATTTTACAGATGAAGAAACTGAGGCAGATAGAGGTTAAGCGACTTGCCCAGGGTCACAAAGGTAGACTACATAATAAGTGTCTGCAGCCAAATTTTAATTGGGTCTTCCTGACTCCAAACCCAGTACTCTGTGCACTAAACCGCCTGGGATGGTAAAAAATGTTGGAAAATATAGTTCAGGAGCAGTAATAATAATAATAATAAACAACAACAAAAATAATATGGAGCAACAGTGAGCCTTTCAGAGGCTGGAGGGGAGGATCTGTCAAATCCCCCTTTGTAGGTCAGACAGGCAATGCCTGGTGGGGGCTGGGGAGGGAGATGGAGAGGGCCATGCCCTCTGGGGAGGTGGGAGGGAACAAAGCATCACTCACGTGGGCCCCCCCCCCCCCCGCAAGTCTCAGAGCCCAGTGGGGGTGGGTGGGAGGTGGCACCACCCGCTGGGGAGGGGACAAAGCGTCATTCGCGTATCCCTGTCCTCCCCCTACTCCAGACTCCAGGTCCAGTGGTGGTGAGGGAGGGGGATGGAGATGGCCCTGCCCCTGAGGAGAAGTGGGAGGGGACGGTGCATCACTCAAGTGCCCCCCCTCAGGTCTCAGGGCCCAGTGGGGGGTTAACCCCGCCCCTGGGGAGGAGGGAGAGGTGATGCATGCTCCCTCTCAGGTCTAGGGGCCCAGGGGGGTGGCCCTGCCTCCGGGGGGAGCGGGGGGGGGCGATACGTCACTCCCCTCCCCCCCCCCGGGCCCCGGGCCCAGGGGGGGGGGGTGGGGAGGTGGCACCACCCGCTGGGGAGGGGACAAACCGTCATTCACATGTCCCTGTCCTCCCCCCACCCCAGTCTCCAGGTCTAGTGGTGGTGAGGGGTGACACCGCCCCTGGGGGGAGGGGGGAGGGATGATGCGTCACTCACGTGCCCCCTCTCAGATCTCGGGGCCCAGTGGGGGGGTGGCCCCGCCCCCGGGAAGGAGGGGGAGGGCACGGTATGTCACTCACGTGCCCCCCTCAGGTCTCAGGGCCCAGTGGGGGGTGGCCCCGCCCCTGGGGGGGCAGGGGGAGGGGACGATGCGTCACTCACGTGGGGAGGGCCCTGCGTCCAGCCGCCGCTCACGCCCTCCGACCCCTCGGCTCTCCCCGCTGTGGCGAGGCCGGAGTCCCGACCAGCCAGACCTGGGGAGGAGATGCGGGTTACGCGGGAGGCCGGTGCTGCCCTTGGGCCAGGGGACCAGCCCGACCCCCCGGCCCCTTCCCACCTTGTCCCCCAGACGGAGGAGGGTCCCTCTGGAGACACTGACTCTGCACCAGCTGCAGCTCCAGCTCCAGACCCGCCCCGGGCCCGGCTCCCTCCATCGAGGGGTCATCGAGGCGGGCCGGGAAGGGGTTGCGGAGGCCATCGGGCGCCCCTTCTCATCGTACAGAGGAGGCAGCTGAGGCCCAGAGAGGGTATTGGCCGACTCGGGGTCACACAGCATCAGGGCCGGGGTCAACCCGTCGCCTCCGCCCCTCGGCGGCCTGGCCCCTCCCCGGCGCGTGACGCCGCCCTTCAGTCCTCGGGGAGCGGATGCCTCCGTCGCCGGCCGAGCAGGGGGGCTGCGGTCACATCCACAAGCTGGAAGGCCCGCCCCCACGCGCGGGCGCACTGCGCATGCTCCCCTCCCCCGCCCAAAGGGAGGCCCAGGACTCATACTGCGAGGGCGGGGGGCGGGGCGAAAGCTCTTGAGGGATTCTGGGAAATGAAGTCCCTAGCATACATTTACCATTAAGCTCTTACCATATTCCGTGTTAAGCACCGGTTATATAAAGTAGGGGAAGAGCACGGTCCCTCTACTCAAAGAGCTCACATCCTAGTGGGAGAAAATATTCAAATAACTGTCTCGGTTTCCTCATCAGTAAAATGAGGAACATAATAATAGCGCCTACTTCCCAGGGTTGTTCTGGGGATCTAATGAGAAATGTAAAGTGCTTTGCAAAACTTGAAGTGCTATGTAAATGTATACCACTACTACTTCTCAGCTACGCAGTCCTGTGTGACTCTTCCAGAACCCATTTGGGGTCTTCTTGGCAAAGATACTGGAGTGGTTTGCCATTTCTTTCTCCAGCTCATTTTACAGATGAGGAAGCTGAGGCAGAGTTACGAGACTTGCCCAGGGCCGTACAGCTAGTAAGTATCTGAGGCTGGATTTGAATTGGTGAAGATGAGTGTACCTGACCGGGGCTCTATGCACTATGGCGCCCCCTAGCAGCCCTAAATTTTAGTGGCTTCCACTTACCTGCAGGATCAAATAAAGCCCCGTCTGGTGTTCCAAACCCTTCCTCACATGTTCCGCCTACCTCCTTTTCAGTCACATGTTTTTTGCGCTCACATGTTACCACGTTCTCTGTGATCCAGTGACAATGGCCTCCTGGCTATTCATTTTATCTGGTAACTGGAGATTTTTGCTGGCACTCCCCCATGGACCTAATGCTCACCCTCCTTATCTGGGCTCCTGGCTTTCCTAGTGTCCTTCAGGTCCCTGCTAAAATCTGGCCTTCTACAGGAAGCCATTCCCGATTCCTCTTAATGCTAGTGCCTTCACTGTTGATTATCAAGGACATGGTTTGTTTGTACATAGTTATTTGTGTTTTGTCTTCCCCTTCAAGATATGAGTTCTTACAGGACAAGGATGATCTTTTACTCTTCATATCCCCAGCACTTAGCACATAGTGGGTGCTTAATTATTTAGTATTAATTATTAACTATTTTAACTTATTCACTGTTTTATTTATTTACTCACTGATATAGCAGGGAGAAGGTCTCTGTTTTCTCCAGGAGAACACTTGAGAGGAGTGGTCTAGGAAGGAGCTGAGTATTGACTGCTATTTTGGAACATTCACCCCCCACACCACACTTCAACATAATATGATCTTTCTCTCATTCAAGCTTCCTACAAATGTCACCTCCCTTGTCTTTGGGTAGAGATACATGTTGGAGGGCATGGGGGAACTATGCCAAGTTTGGACATATCTCTCTTCAGGCACGAAATGCTTAGATATCAGGATAATGTTAAATAAAATGGTTTCTGGCAAACTTGTGCCTAAAATTCAGAGTACAGTATTGCTCTTTTTTTTCCTGAAGGCATGAAAATTCAGATGTAGCTTAGAATGTTTACCCATAAAGGTGATTGATCTAAACCAGGGGTGGGGAACCTTCAGCCTTGAGGACACATGTGGCCCTCTAGGGCCTCAGGAATCCAAATTCAGTCAAAGCGCTGCACTTGAGGACCTAGAGGGCCACAGGTTCCCCACCCCTGATCTAAACCTTGTGGGATGTGATTAAGGGTCTAAGATATTACAATAGTTTAGCTGCATAGATTCAGAATTAGTTGAATGACCTAACTCCAAGAGTGATAACTAGTTGATGTCAACTTTGAGTGAGGGGCATCTGGTGGAATACCAGGTGCTGTCTCTGGTCATCTTCTATTCAATAATTTCATCTATGTCTTAGATGTTTATAAGAATGGCATTATGTAATAGGCCAGACCCGGCTGGGCAACCCAGGTTGAAAATTCAGAGAGGAAGTGCTAACAAAGCATCTTAATTAAGAACAGGACCTTTATTCATTCAGCCTCCTGTGGTCCTCCTGTGGTCAGAAACCTAAGGGAGGTTCTCCAACTTCTTATATCCTGTCATGTCTTTGTGCTCAGACAACCAGGAAGCAAGGTCAAGGTCCAAGATTTAAATCTCCAATTAAATCTCAAGGGCAGTTTCAACACCTCTGAGAAAAAAACTAGCTTAATCTTCGAGGGCTAGAGTGATTTGAAGTTGAGGAGAGGTCAGTTGATTACTCTTATTAGGGTGAAGGGAATATGCATTTATTAAGCACCTACTATGTGCTTAGCTCTTTAAGCTCTTCCCTCCTACATACTTATTGTCCATAGCAAAATAATTGTAGTCTATTTGCCGTATTTGTCCTGTCCCCCAATTCTAAAAAGTTCATTGGGATTCTGGGAAGCTAAAGCACTGTTCTTTCCATTGTCTTCTCCTGTTCCTTGGGGTACAGATTTTCAATAAAATCCACATGGTACAGTTCTTAACAATCTTCTGAAAGCCACATAGAGTCCCAAGCACTTCACTCAAAACAGTTCTTGGATCATATAATTAAGTCCCTAAATAAAAGGTTATATCATTTCAACCAACAATATTTTACAATGTTTAACCACCTGTTTAGTATTTATAATGGCCTGTTTCAACCCAAACAACTGAAAATAAAAATTGACTGTGTCCATAAGTTAACCCTTTGCATTAAGGATATGGTTCTTGAAGACCCAGAAAACATTTAGTTGATAAATAAGGGCAGATAGTTAGATTTTCCTTGTGTTGGTGATTCAACTTTGCCAAGGTAATGAGAAAGAATCATAGGATACTGCCCCTTGAAGTATCTTTATTCTCCATCTTGACACCCTTAAACATCTACTGAGCTAATCTCCCCAAGATGGTGGAAGCCCTAACCCTATTCTATTAAGAGGCCTTGTGGTATGCAGCCAGAAGTACAACAACATTGTGGGGGTGAGGTGTGCAGAGCTGCTATATGAGGGTAGCAGGTTCCTTCTTCCTCTTCATTGCCCTTCTTCAACTTCAGGTATGAGGTTATTCCAATTCAGTTCTCATTACGTTAAATGTTCTGAGCCAGGCCGCACTCAGGCAGGTCTAGTGGCTCAAGCTTAGGATCAGAATGAAAGAGGCATCGAAGAACCATAATGTTTTACAAAAGGAAGTTTAATTAATAATATCACGGAATGGCATTTAAGGAAGATTCAGCATTGTTCAGTTTCCTTCCTCTCCACATGGAGATCTGCCTGATCACTGTAGAATCCTTCAAGCCTTGAGAAACCAACTCTTTTGTGCACAGGGCTTTTTATGCCTTACATCAGTGGTGTCAAATAAAAATGAGACTACTAACCCATACATAAGGATCCCATAGGTTGCATACTGACTTAGAAAATGACAGATTAATAGGATCTATGTTTAACTGTATTTTGATTTATTTTGTTAAATATTTCCCAATTGCATTTTAATCTGGTTCACTTAGGAATGTCCCAGATGGACTGCATGACTGACACCTCTGCCTTAGGTGACCAGTAAGCTGTCATAACAGTTTGAGAGGTTGTCCCCTGGAGCAATTTAAGTCTCAAGAACAGTTTCTTTGCCTTTTTAGAAGAAAAGGTAGCTTAGCATAAATGGCTTAGATGTTACTCCTGTCTTGGGCTCATTATGCCCCCACCCAAAGTTGACCCATCTCTTGGAAATGGTGTATGTCTATGTTTCTCCAAGCTTGGGTACATTCATAGAAATTCTTACTAGTACCTTATGTGCTTCAAAGAGAGAATTGGTGCAGAAGGTTTTCCCACATTCATCACATTTATATGGCTTCTCTGTGGCAAGAATTTTTTGATGTCTAGATAGCTGTTTATTACTTATGAAAGCTTTCCCACATTCATTACATTTATAGGGCTTCTCTCCTGTATGGATTCTTTGATGTCGTGATAGCTTTTGGTTACTGATGAAAGCTTTCCCACATTTGTTACATCTAAAAGGCTTCTCTCCAGTATGTATTCTTTGATGTTCAAGTTTATAGCTATTACTACTGAAGGCTTTCCCACATTCATTACATTTATAAGGCTCCTCTCCAGTATGAATTCTTTCATGTTGAATTAAGTACCTATTACTACTGAAGACTTTTCCACATTCATTGCATTTATATGGCTTCTCTCCAGTATGGATTCTTCGATGTTGAATTAAATACCTATTACTGCTGAAGGCTTTCCCACATTCATTACATTTGTAGGGTTTCTCTCCTGTATGGGTTTTTTGATGTTGAAGTAGATATCTGTTACTGCTGAAGGCTTTTCCACATTTACTACATTCAAAGGGCTTCTCACCTGTATGAATCATCATATGTTTTTCAAGGCTGCCTTTCTCCCTGAAGCCTCTTCTACATTCATTACATTTACAAGGTTTTTCTCCAGTACGAATTTTTTTATGTTTTCCTAAGTAATGTTTATTGTGGAAGGCTTTGCCACATACATTGCATTCACAGGGCTTCTTTCCAGAATGAATTATCTTATGTATTTCAAGATTTTGCTTAGCGTTAAAGCCTTTTCCACATTTATTACATACATATGGTTTTTTTCTATTGTGAATTTTTTTACATTTCTCACCACTGTGAATTCTCTGATATTTAAAGAGATTTCCCTTTTGGCTGAATGATTTTCTACATTCATCACATTCAAATGGTTTCTCTCCTGTATGAATTCTCTTATGTTTATAGAGGTTCCCCTTTTGGCTGAAGGATTTTTCACATTCATTACATTCAAATGGTTTCTCTCTAGTATGAATTCTTTGATGTTGAGATAAGATTTGATTACTGTTAAAAGTTTTTCCACATTCATTACATTTAAATGGCTTCTTCCCAGTATGACTTAATTGATGTGCAGTTAGGTTTTGTTTACTGCTAAAGTTTTTTCCACATTCATTACATTCAAATAGTTTCTCTTCAGTATGAATTCTTTGATGTACAGGATGGCATGAATTGATACTGAAGGCTCTGCCAAATTCATTATGTTTAGGGTGTTTTCCTTGAGTATATATTCCATGGTAATAAATAAAGTTTGAGTGGTCAGTAAAGGGTTTCTTGCCTTTCTTATAAAGTTTCTCACCTATGTCAATTCCATTATATTCACTTAAGTCTGAAAAGTATTTGAAGTTGACTTTGGGAGCTCCGTGTTGTGCAGCAAGGACTGACTTCTGACTGCCCTTTTGTCCAACTGCATTACATTTCTGAGGAAACTCTGGAGAGGGAAAAAAAATCAATATTCAATACTAACATCTAGATTCTATCTCCTTTATCAAGGAGAATGACCATAAATCTGAAACAGGTGGAAAAAATCCCAACATTTTAAAAGTAGAAACTGAAGCCCAAGTTAACTGGGGAGAGAGGAACAGGACACTTAATAGCCCAGGACTTCATAAATAGCTGAATTATCAGAATGAACCAACATATTAATTCTGAAAAATAGATACTGTTAAATCCGAACTCAGTCTTGGCAAAAGCTTGCCATCAAACAGATAGCTAGAGCATTAGAAAAGAAAGTGATTATCCCTAAGCTCTAGTACTGATTTAACAGAAACGGATCATATAAAACAAAGCTTATTATTTATAAAATTTATGAATAGGAATACGAAGGATGGGAAGAGTCGAGATCTAGCTTTCAAAAATGCATATGACAAAACCTTTCAAGCTGTCTTTGCCGACAAGATGAAGAAATGTGCACTGAGTTCATGGCCAGTTAAAAAAATCTTATGAAAAATATTCTGGAATAAAGAATTTTGTCCATCTGGATTATATTCTCTAGTTTCATGCCTTAGGGATTCTCCTCAGCCTTATTCCATTCAACAATTTTGGCAATATCCTGGATAAAATCACAGAAGGCACTTTTTCATCTTCTGATAATGACACAAAAGTACATAAGGATACCTGTTAGATATAAACTAAATGAAGACATTTTTTAAATATTTCATTAGGCTGGAGAAATAAGCCAAGACAAACTTTGAAATTTAACATAGATAAATGTGAAGTCCTGCAGACAGGGTTAAAATACTAACTACTCAGGTATAGAAGATTTGATTAGGCAACAGATCATGTTAGACAGCTAGGTGGTTTGTTATGAAAATCAAATGAGATAAAGCACTTTTCAAGTCTTAAAAGTACCATATAAATATGACGTGTTATTATTTCACAGAGGCATAATATAGTAGGGATAAGAATTCCAACTATCTGGATTTCTGCTGGTGTTCTCACTCTGCCAAAAGCAGAGCAGCTAAACTGGGGGTTGGCAGATGGGGATGGGGAGTGCTAAACTGATGTGCAAAGTCACTGACTTGTGCAGAGTCAATCTGAGTGACCCTGAGTTTAAAAACCTTGCTTAGACTTTGGGTAATGCACAACCAGCCTGCAGGGGATGGTGGTCCAGAAAGTATCCTTGGGCATGCACACCAATCCCATCTTCCTATGGTACTGTAAGGGGGAGGAGCTAAAGCGGCTTTAATCCCATGTCCTCACAGAAAAAATGCACCAAACAGGACTATCTTATCCTAACATGGAAGTTGTTTACTCCTGTCTATAAAAAGCAGTATGCAGGCAGTTTGAATCCAGCAGCTACACTCAACTGCAAGCTATCTTGGTGTGCCAATAAACTCCTTTGTCTTATTTTCTGAGTTTGCCTTACTGACCAGGGCAAGGCCCGAACCAAGATTTGCTGAAATGCCGAAAGTCTGGCTTTGAGTCCCTGGTATTACTGGCTAAGGGATCGTGGGTAAGTAAAAATCTCACCGAGTCTCACTCAGACTCTTCATCTATAAAGTAGGGATGATATTATTTTCACTTCCCACCTCATAGGCTGGAAACACAGTTTGTAAACCATATAATGTTATAGGTATATAAGCCACTGGTAGTAATACATTTATATATATATACACACACACACACACACACACACACACGTATATATGCATATATATATATATATATAAATCTATAAATATGGGAAGCCATCAACTATAGAACAACAGGAATAGAAGATGAATTGTAGAATTTCAAGAAAGGAAAGGAACCAGAGAAAATGGAGGAAGAGGATGTAGATTGCATGTTTATGAGGTTTAGAAGTGAATGGAGATGTGATGGAAGGCAGATAAAACAAGCGAGAGGGACAACGAAAGGTTTGTTCTTTTAAATATGAGTCAGACTTATCTCTATCTGAAAGCAGAAGGAAAAAAGCCTTAGAAAAGGGAGGGACTACAGCTGCAAGAAGACTGAAAAATAATAAGAAAGGATATAGTACAGGTAGAAGAATTAGCATCAGAAAAAAACCAAACATCTATTTCTCTGAGGCTGGAGGGAAATGTGAGGTCAGGACATTGAGGACAGTGATTTTTCAGGGGAAAGATGAGGAAGTAGCTCCAGAGGGATGGTCAGAAATGTCTCCCTATGGCTCAGGGCCCTTTAAGAAGGAGTACCACCCCAACGATTCAAGGTGAGGCTCCATACTGGCTTGACAGGCTGGGGTGATACTTGCAATCATCTAACAGAATGCTGCCTCAAGGGGCACTCACCTAGGTAAGGGCTTCTTGGAGTTTCTTTCTCGGGAAGTAGTGCTTCTCTTTTCTCCAACTGGAAGAGGACATCTCCCTGGGAAACTGGAAGCCCTGCTCATGGGAAAAATAATTGAAAAATTGCTGAGAATGGAAAGACCTCAGAGTTCAGTCTTGGCCATATTCTCTTTGGGGCATAGAAGGCATGCTAGAAAGGACCTCTGAAGGATACTCTGTATTGCATTCTGTAGACAAGTGTCAGGGTTTGAATTAGACTGAAAGAAAATGATTTCATTTTAACACACTTTCTACTATGAAAATGGAAACTTCATGTCTTGAAGCAGTTATACTAGGACTTTAGCACAGAACTGAATATGCATAGGAAAGAGGAAGCAGAAATAACACCAAAGGATTTAGGGATCTTTCTACATTATAGGCATTGATGGCAATATGCCTTCATGTGAAATTAAAACTCCGTGAAACGTTTCAGCCATCCCATAACCTGTAAAAAGTGAGAATGCCAAGAAATCCCCATGGCCAGATGGTTCAGGAGAGAAAAGCCATCCTTACCCAGGGAGACAAAATTCTCATAGTTCTCCAGCATCACATCCCTGAACAAGTCCTTCTGAGCTGGTTCCAACAAACCCCATTCCTCCTGGGTGAAATCCACAGCCACATCTTGAAATGTCAGTATTGTCTGAAATATCAAAAAAATTCCTTCTCACACAGGGACATTCCTCTTATGGAACACGAATGAATGAAGAAGCATTTGTTAAGAGCTTATTATGCGCCAAGCACTATGCTAAGTGCTGGGGATGCAAAAAACAAAAGCAAAGACAGTCCCTCCCCTCAGGAAGCTTACCTTCTAATAGCAGAAGACAACACATGCAGAGGAGAGATGGTCACAGAGGTTTGGAGAGTTACAGGAATGGTGAGTGGAGACACACAGGAGCAGGTGGATGCGTCCATTCCACGAGCAGTGACGGAAAAGATCTGATTAGAGTCTAAGAAGTGGCAAGGAGGGGAGCAGGCCTGTGTGTGGCAGTGAGGCCGCTAGCAAGATGACCAGGGAGTGAAGGGAGATACTGGCTGCGATGTAGGAGGCTACAGCATACACTAATGGTGATAGCACAGGTCTGTCCTCCGGGGCAGTTTCTGCTCAAGCTGCTCTCAAGTTGGTCAGGAAGTTAGGAGACATGAAGTTGGTATTACGAGGAGAGAATGATTTTCAAGGGTTTGGAGCACCCCATGTCGAGGATTTCTTGAGGATTTATTTACCATCTTCCTCCCTTTATACTCACTATATTGTAAACAACTTTATTACTCAAGGTCAGCCTTACAAATCAGTTCCAGCACTTAGACTCAAGTTAAATGTGCCCTTCACACTTCAAAATCACACTTCTTTCTACGGACATCAATCACTCTTCATGACTGAGCACCCCTTCTAGGGCAGTATTATTCAGATAAATGGAAGATTAAAATACACATCTTCCCTGATGCCATCTCTACTTAATATGAAATTACTCTCTCGAAAGCTGCTGCTTCCTTTATTCCAGATACATCTTGTTCCTGAGGAAGACAGTTTGGACGTGCTCCCCTTTCTCCAAGTGATCCCATCAGTTCACATGAGTTTCATTATCATCACAAAGCTGAAGATTCCCATAATCTGTAGACCCAGGCCAGATCTCTTTTCCTCATCTCCAGTCTTGCAACATCAGCTGCTTATTGGACATTTCAAACAAGATGCCTTATGTGCATCTCAAACTCATTATATCCAAAATAGAATTTATTCTTATTTTCCCCAAACTCAACCCTCTTCTCTACTTGCCGGTTTCTATTTAAGGCACCACACAGAGGCAGCTAGGAGTCTCAGGCAATAGAACACTGGGTCTGGAGGCAGGAAGACCTGAATTCAAATATGGCCTCAAACATTTACTAGCTGTGGAGAAGTCACTTCACCTCTGCCAGCCTGAGTTTCCTCAACTGAAAAATGAGGCTAAGAGAACCTACTTCCCAGGGTTGTTGTGCGATAATATTTGTAAGGTATTTAGCACCATGCCTGGTGAGTAGTAGGGACTTAATAAATCCTTGTTTCCTCCCCATTCCCCCAATCATTCTGGCCTGTAACTTCAGTGTTATCCTGGACTCCTAGACTCACTGTCATTCACTCTGCATAGTTAAATAACTACCAAATCTTGTTATTTCTACCTCTATAGCATCTCACACACAACTACCCTGATTGAGGCCTTCATCGCCTCTAGCCTGTACAATTACCATACCCTCTTAACTGTTCCTCCATGTGACATCTGAAGTACTTCTCAACCTTTTTAAGCTCATATATCCCCTCCCTCCCCCATACCCCACAGTCTGGCCACACCAGCCTTCTGACTGTTCCTCATCTTCTGTTTCTTTGTCTTCGTATTGACCATCCCTCACACCTGGAAGGCCTTTCCTGATCTCCCCAGCTGCAAATGCCTTCCTCTGATATTATTATTTGTATCTACTTTGTCCATACCATACATATACCATGTATATTGTCTTTACCTTGAAGGTACAGAGTGGTTTATTTCTGTGCTTGCATTCCCAGGACATAGCATAGTCTCTGGCACATAGAAAGGCTTCATAAATCACATAATGACAGAATTTGACAGTTGAAAGGGTCTTTAGCAGCCATCTACTCCAACCTACACATGAAAGAAATCTCCACTATAACCTTCATGACAAATGATCATCCAAACCTACTGCTGTTGACTGAGTGATGAATAGCCACCTTCTTTTCTAGTCACTTTTTTTAATGACATCTTTTTTGCCATTTCTTGCAGATGAGCACAAGTCAAGATGTCACTTGTAATGTCATTTATCCTCTTTGAAAATGAAGGACGATACAGTGGATAGAGCTCTGGCCTTGGAGTCAGGAAGACCTGAATTCAAATCCAGTCTCAGACACATGACACTTACTAGCTGTGTGACCCTGAGCAAGTCACTTAACCCCAGTGCCTCACCAAAAAAAAAAAAGAAGCAAAAAAAGAAGACGAAGGATGAACAACTCAATAATTCAAATGAGGCTTCTTTGACTTTTATGTTTCAGATCCACCACATGCCTGACCACTATCCTTCGGGCACCTACCGTTTGATTCTTTGGAGAGCCTAGTATCAGCTAACTAGCAATAATAAAAATGTGTTATTCTGTCAGAAACAGCTTGGGCTCCATTATTAAGCATTTATAAGCTCCTGCTTATTCCGTGCTGGATACTGTACCAGGTGCTAGGGATACAAAAACAAAAACATAATACCATCTGTCCTCAAGGGGTTTATATTCTATCAGAAGAAATAGCACATATACCTATAGGAACATACAACATATATACCAGGCAATTTCAAGGGGGGAAACCCTAGTAGTTAAAGGATAAGGAATGACCCATGTAGAAGATGGCATTTAAGTAGGGCTCTGAAGAAAAACAGATTCAAATAAGCATAAAGAGAGAGTGCATTCCAGACAGAGGGGACAGCCAGCCTGTGCTAAAGTATCAAGATAAAAGGTGAACTCACAGCAAGGCTTCTGTAATTTCTAAAAGGCAATCAAGCACACTCTCTTCCTCCTATTCAGTTCTGGGTCTGGCTCATTGTCCATTTACAGAACAGAACCTGTCTTAGAAATGTGTACTGGTAGACCTCCTAACCAAATATGTGTCATACTTCTAACAGTGGCATCCATCATGCATTTGCTTTTCCATATAAGAATAGAGAGGTCAATCTCCTGAGTGGTAGCCAAACCAAGAAGGACGTGTGCAGTGTTATCAACTATACCAACACTAACCATCTGGAGAAAGCCCCTCTTCCATAATACACTAAAAGGCAAAAGTTTTAATTTTTGCTTTATAAACTTTTGCTTACAGCCAAAAATAACTTGCCCTATAAGACTTAATCTAATATTATAGAGGAAAATGAATGTTTATTGAATAGAAGGATTTCAAACATTGAAACATGAAAAGGTCAAAGCTGAGTAGAAACTGAATTACAAACATAGGAGTCAAGAGACACATAGAAAGGTAACAACATTTCACCACTAGGAGGAGCTCAATGACGATAAGTACTTACATTCTATTTTAACATGAGAAGAAAGAAGTAACTTGGAGACCAGTTAAGGGTCACAGAAGGAGTTCAGTAAGACAAAAGAGGATTGGGATGGTATGTTCTGTGTTGATGGTCCTTAGAAGAGGGGAGAAATTAAAAGAGAGTGAAAAAATACACCAGGGAAGAAATGAGAGACAAAATGTGATATCTCTTGTACGTTTCATCATGAGGGTGTATGAGGAGAAGAGGGAGGAGGAACAGGCATTACATGGACTTCACTCTTACCTGAACCAGTCAAAGGAAGGTTGAACACACATTCACAGTTTGGATTAGTAATAACATTAAATTCAAAAGCGAAATAGGCAACCAAGGGGTTATTGGTTGGAGTATTTTTTGACTCTCTTTCCCTCCTTATTTTGGCAAGTGCTTTACATCTGTTAAACTTCTATAGGAAATGGTGACAGTCCATGTTGCCATCCTTTCCTTTATCCATGACCCATTTTTAGCATCTATAGGATGAAACACATTCAATGATTCAAAAGCTTATTGAATGAGTAATTTAATAAATGAACTATCTCCAAGATATCATTGAAACTTCTCACACTAGTGTTAACACCAGCTTCGATAACCTCTTCTACAGTGACTAAGAAAGTGCTACTGTCTCTTTAAGAGGATTTTGGGGTTTCTGGTTAAGGTGAGATGTCATACAGAAGCCCAGCTCTTTCACAAAATGTTCCGTCAAAATGCAAAAAAATGTACCAGATGGAACAATGACAAAGAAAACCAGAGAAATGTCTATCGGTTCCTGGATCTCATCCAGACCTGCACAAAAGACTGCCAGGAGCCTGACATCTACGCAGAGATAAACAAAGGGAAACAGAAGTCACAGTGTCATCCAGGCGGCAGGATCTGAGCCCAGGGCAGAGAGTCTTCTGGGAGGAAAGACATGACAGAAAGGCCTCTGGATACAACTTGGCAATGCGGAGTAGGTGAAGACAAGGGAAAGAAAACTGTTCACACTTCCAGGAAGAAGGTGGCATTTCAGCAGAAAGAGGAGGTTAGGGTTAGGGTTACTCACCTGGTAACCGGCTGGCAGGTGCCCAGTACATGTTGTCCTCCACCTTGATTCTCCCTTCTTGGCCAAGACCAAAGTCTTCACAAGCCAGAACTGGAGGAGAAGAAAGAAGACAAATGGAGGGCTGGTCATTCCTCAGAGAACCTTAACTCACCAGGATGGCATTACTGGTGTACAATCGAGTTCATTGTTTCATTACAGAAGACATCAAACCCACATAAGAAGTCTCATCTTCTTGAAGAAACAAAAGGAAGGGCCGTGAATTTTTGTTCCTAAGATACTGACTCTTTCCTCCTCCTAAGGGGATTTAGGAAACACAGACTGAAATAAAATAATTTTTCCCTATATTCTTCATAATACTAAATAGTCAACTCAAGTTGTTGATGACTTGATCATCCCTGCATTTAATTAAGAAACATATTTCCATTTCTTCTCTCTCCTTACCTGACAGGATATATGATGAATCAATTTACTTAAGTCTTTGGAGAAAGCTTTTTTTAAAAATTAATATATTTTGTTTTAACATTATCCATATTTCCCAGTGTAATTCTCCCTTCTCCCTTTCTGAGTCATCCTTTATAACAAAAAAAGGGGGGTGGCAGAGAATTGAATAAAATGAAGTACCCAACAAATGACTGCAGTCACTCACCAGCAGCATATCTCACTGCCAGATGGGAAGCTGATCACCTCCCTACACCCTCAGCTTAAGGTGACCTCATTACTCTGTACAGATAAGTAACATCACCTTGATAGAAACAAAGATGGAAAAGATGCCCAAGCTCATTGAAAAGAACTTGAAGCAACAGAGTTTTGCTAAGAAATCTTGGTGCTCATAGGACACACAAGTCAGCAGATCAATGGAAATCGACTCCTTAGGAGCTGTAGTGACTGGGCTACTTGTCCATTGCAGAATAATCCCAGACACTGGGAAGTACCCTGTGAAGGCCACTTAATGCCTCCAGTGATGAGCAGGAAGAGAACGACAGGCACCTACCTCAGCGGACTCTGACAGAAAGAGACTGCCTACCAGTTTTTCAGACTGTCTGAACCACAAAAATGGCCCAGGAACAGTGAGAAGACTCAGTGAACTTTCCAGCCAATCCAAATAGAGGGAGCCGATTGAACCCGAGTCAGTATCTTCCCTGTCTAGGATGTCAGCTATAGAGGCTGCATGTAGATATCTCACAGAGCACAGGAACACTGCTCGCCGGACCTGACCCTCCATAAGTTCTGGTTTAGGAATGTAAGATGATGGCTCTGATGAGGGCTGTCAGCAGCTCATACCATCAGCTGATTTAGGTATAGGAGAGCAAGTAAGTCATCAGGTCAAAGGAAGGAAGAAAGGAAGGAAAGAGGGAGGGAAGGAAGTAAGTAAACAAACAAGCATTTATTAAGTACTTACTACACGCACTTTGCTAAGTGCTTTACGAATATCTCATCTGATCCTCACCATAACCCTGGAAGATAATTATTATCATCCCCATTTTACAATTGAGGAAACTGAGGCAGCAGTTAAGTGACTTGCCCAGAGTCACACAGCTATTAAGGGTATGAGGTCAGATTTGATTCAGGTCTCCCTGAGCTCAAGCACCACCTTTAACAGGAAGCCAGCGCCCCCCGCCCCTCCCAAACCATCTTATTAAATATATATTGATGGTAGATACTTCGTACACACAAGCACACTTGCCTGCCCCTTTAGCGGGTAAACTCCTTCTAAGAGCAGGGGTTATTTTATTCTTTGTGTTTGTACACCTGGTGCCCAGCACAGTGCCTGGCACAGTAGGCACTTAATTAAATGCTTTCATGACTTTCTTCCAAGAAGCCAAGGTCACATGCCTGCCATAACGAAGCATTAGAGTAGGATGACCCTGGGAATGAGACTCAGAGAGAGCTCTAACAAGTTAGAAGTGTCGAGGTAGGATTTGAACCCAGGTCTCTCCTGACTCCATTGTCCTTGTTCTTCTTATCGGAGGAGATTGAGTGATTGGGACACAACAGAAAGGGCGTGGTCTGAAGGTGCAGCCACCTCCCCCTGTCCCCAGCTCCAGCTCCTTGGCCCCGCCCCCCGCCCCCGCCCCCCCCCCCCCATCCGCCCCCCGCCCCCCCCTCAGACCCCGCCCCGCTCCACCCCCTCCCCCAGGCAGGGCTCCTGTTCTCTCACCAGGTGCCTCCCACCGCTTAGACTGTCAGCTCCTCTCAGCCCCGCCCCCCCAAGGCCCCCCCCCCTGGGTGGGGGAAGTGGCATCGAGGCCTCCATGGCCCCCCCCCCCCCCCCCCCCCCGCTGGGGCCCGCATCCGACAGAGGAGGAAACTGAGGCCCAGCTCAGGGTTTCGCAGCCAGGAAGAGGTCAGACTGTCCGAGCACCCGCGCTCCCGCCTCTCTCACTCACCTGCTCCCTGCAAATTAAAATAAAGAGTGCGGCTCAAACCCTAATCCAGGACGGTAACAGAGTCTGCTCACAGTGAGCGCTGAACTACGACTCCCAGAATTCATCGGGAACGTGAATGGGGCGGAGCCGGAAGAGTCTGAGAACTGTTCCTCTGGAGAGATGGATTCTGGGAAGTGGAGTCTGGCCCGGTTTAAAATCAAACCAATAACAACAACGACCCTCATTTCGAAGGATTCTGGGAAATGGAGTCCGGAAGTCACTAGTTCATTTTAAGTGTTCCAGGATTGAAAATGTAGATCAGAGGAAAAAGTCATGGAAAATGCGGAGAAATAAGGGGAATCAAAAGTTATCATGGAAAAAGCGACATTTGATTTGGACACAAATTGGGTGGATAGTTAATAGGAAGCTAGTGATGTCATGGTGCCCAGAGCCCCGGTGGCCTGGCAGTAGGAATATGAGTTCAAATCCTGCCTCAAACACTTCCTTAGCTGGGTGACCTTGGGCAAGTCACTTCACCCCAGCCTGCCTCAGTTTCCTCATCTGTAAAATGGATCCCCATCATAGCATCTCCCTCCCAGGGTTGTTGTGAGGATCAAATAAAATAATGATTATTAAGGGCTTAGCATAGTGCTGGGCACATAGTAGGTGCTTAATAAATGCTTATTCCCTTCCCTCCCTTCTCTCACCCAATTAGGAATGGGATAGCTGAACAAATCATGGCATATGGATGCAGTTGATATTATCGTGTTGTGAGAAATTAGGCAAGGGATGGATCCCAAGAAACCAAAGAAGGAATGAAGTGACTCAGAATGAATCAAGCAGAACCAAGGGAAGACTTTATAGGAAAACAGCTAGTGAAATACTTAGGAGGTGTGGTGGATGTGATGACCCATCATGACTCAGAGACTCATGACGACTCAAGCTTTCCTCTTCTGGGACAGAGGTGACAGACCATACGGAGGCCTAGAACAAGACCTTCTTTTTCAGTCACAGCCAAGGTGTTGGTTTATTTCAGACTGTATTTGATACAGGGAAGGGTTTTTATTTTTTTTATGGCATTGCTAGCCAGGACTGGAAGGCTTTCAACAGGATTTGAGTCAACTTTGGCCACCTCTTTGCCATTCTTTGCTCCGTTGTCTTCAACTGGGCTCCAGTGGTGTGATGATACCTGTCTAAGACACTATGCATTTTGATGTGTGCTAGGGGAGTAATGAGGGAGTGATAGTGATACTAAAAAAAGATAGATAGAAAAGCATGTCATGAGTCATTAAAGAAAGAGATGGAGAATTTCTTCTAGAGACACAAATGAGTTGAATGGTGCTGGATTTGCCCTTGGTAAATTTCAAGTATACAAAGGACCCAACAAGTTGTACATAGTGGAGATTCAGAGGTCCATACACAGTTCTTATTTCTTGTGGAACAGGAGCCTGGTTCATGCACACACCCCATCAGCTTGCTCAGATGACATCTCTACATGGAAGATGCTAGGGAGCAGATAATACGAGAGAGAGAGGACACTGAACTTCTTGGAGAATCATGACAATGCCTTGGAGGCTCTGGATATATGGACATACTACAACTTGTTCCGGTTGGGAGGAACCTTTTCCTGTTGGCTGCAGAGCCAATAGAAGCTGTCAGCATCTTCAAAATGGCTTGAATTGACTTTGGCCACCTCTTTACCATTCTTTACTCCATTTTCAGCTGTATTCCGGTGATATGATGGTGTCCAGTGAAAGGCCAAGCTTTAAAGGGGAAGAGCTACCCACACCTAACACAGGCTTACCAGATGCTTGTTGAGATACACTAAATATGATTTTTTTTTAAAAACTTTTTTCTGAAGGTTAAGATGTGTCTCTACTATTGTCCTTAGAAGAAAACAACACATTCCCTCATCCAGCTTCAGGGCAACCACTGGTTCTAAGTGTTATAACTGTATCATGGATCCTATCTGTTTTCCACTGAAGAGAAAGATAAGAAAAGATAACCTTTATCAGTCGTGGAGGATTTTGTCATTTTGATTGCATTCTCTAAGAAATTCCTGGGACCTTTGTATCCTAGGTTGAGGGGGATAATTTAAAGATTTGAAGAGGTAATCATGTACTCCCACCCATTCCCCAACATTTAATAGCACATGCTCTCTGAATAAAGATATGTAGTATTACCTCTGTGCTAATAAAAGGTAAAAAGTAAAATCAATACACAACTTGTGTATAATCTGTTGGAATTTATTGAAATATCTGAAATAGAGTAAGTCAGATCTTGGATGAAAAATGAAGTCAAGGAGTACAAAAACAACCAAGATCCCCTTCCTCTGTAATTTCAGTTAAGGAGTACAATCCTCCCAGACAGTAGAGTTCTTTTTTGTTTTGTTTTGTTTTGTTTTTTTTGTTTTTATTATGACTATCAATCATCCGCAAAAACAAACATTTCAATATACAAAGAACAAAAAAGAAAGTTGTACATGAAACTGAATTTTATGTAAATGTGCTTTGAAAAATGTATATGAAATATATGTATAACAAACTAATAAAATTGCTCTTTTGTGTTGTGTCTTCTCTTTATTTTTTAATGTTTTATTGATGATTTGGGGGGGGTGAACATTTTTATCACTCTCCACTAACTCAGTCCCATTCCACCAAAATTATATTAAAACAAAACAAGTCAACACATTGGCCCTTTCTAAAAATGGGTGACTCATTCCGCAACTCTAGTCCATTGTTATTGTTTTTTATTGTCTAGTCATTTTTCAGTCATGTCTGACTCTTCCTGACCCCATTTGGATTTTCTTGGTAGATATTGGAGTGGTTTTGCCATTTTCTTCTCCAGCTCCTTTTACAGATGTGGAAACTGAGGCAAACACGGTTAAGTGACTTGTCCAGGGTCACACAGTTAGTAAGTATCTGAAGCCAGATTTGAAAATGAATCTTCCTGACTCTAGCCATTTCACCACCTAGCCACCGCTTTACAGAAATAAAGGAAAACAAATAATCGGAGGGATAATAGTTGTTCATGGTTGGGCCTGTAAAGTTTCTGCTCCTGTACCAGCCTTCTCCACGCTAATACAAGTACCAGGATATGTGTGAGGGTCACAAGATGAGTGTTCAGCAGCAGTGCAGTTGGGGCATTTCTGACATCACTCCTTATCAATGATTCCCTTCCCCAAGATGTTAATTGAAAATTTAAGAGCATTAATTATCCCGGGGAAGCAAGCCTGATCTCATTGACAGTCTTTTCTGAGTGCTACCTCGAAAGTGAACATGGGTCAAGAATGAAGACATCCATCTGCATTTCTGCATCCATAATTGGTCTTTGAGGCACCTTGATCTTAGTATACGTGCAAGGCCTTCAGTGGTCTCAGGTATGAGGGCCTATTGCATGTGGGGAAACCTCGGATGGGTGTGTGGCAATATAGAGAACTGGTTGTTATAATTAACACAAAGATGATATGCAATTAGTGACACTGGGGAGTAGAAGTTCTCAGGATGGAGCAACTTCTAAACTTAGCTGGCATCCTAATTTCAGAAACGCTACTGTTAGAGTGGGAGACAAAAAAGCATTTTGCAAAAGTTATAAAAAAAATCTTGCACAATTATGAAGTTTCACTGGTCTGATTTATCTTCTGTTCTATAAGAGGTTCCTTCTAGTTGAAGGTTTTCTGAAAAACATTTTAAAAAATTCTCCACAGTGACAATTGTTCTGTGTACTGAAGGTTAGGCAGCCTGAAGGCTCTCTTTACATGCATTATATTCAAAGGATTTTTCTTTCCAGTATTAAATCTCTTACAGTTCTCAAGGTTTTTATTGTGTTTCAAAGTGTGCCCACACATTTTATTCAC